CTCCCTCTGTTTAATAGAGGTATTGGTACTAAGGCTAACAACTTATCGTTTTCTATCAGCGTAACACAACCCAGGGAGCTATAGTAGCGCCATAATTCCATGTTGGGATCAGCGGGCAACCGAAACTGATGAGGAAGTTCAGTCTGAATCCCCAGCAAGATATCTCGGAGGTGACCGGGAGCTACAATACTAGGTGACAGATGTCCTAGGGAGAGCATGTCTAATTGAGCACTAACATGCTCGAGAGACGACTGCGAGGCCTGTCGCAATCTATTGATGGCCATGAGCAATTGTAGGAATTGCGCCACAAAGCCCCCGAGTTCCTGCAGCTCGGCCGACATGGAATGAGTCACTTGGCCTAATTCATTCTGTATGTCTAGTACGTTCTTTATCAGCCGATTGATGGTCTGTCGATTTTTTGCCAAGTCTATCCTGGTAACATTTAAAATCAATAGACTATTTCTTGTCCGTTTTTCAAGGCTCTTTTGACCTTCCCCTATTGCTGCTAATTTTCTTCTGATAGTCTCCAAGTCGGCCCCGGTTATCGTTCCAAAAAGCACACTAAGTGCCTTACCTACAATTGGTAAGACTGACCTTTTTTTTCTAGATTCAAGTAACTTCAGTCCACCCAGATAGTCTCTCATATTGCTCCAGTGCAACTGCAATGCAATTATTTCCTTATCAGAGTAATAATTTTCAGCTATGTGTTCACCTATTGTTTTTGCCTTCTGTATCTCCAAACCCAACCCTTCCAATAATCTATTATATGGCTTCAGGTCGATCATCAACGTGATGACCCATTTTGATCTGGTAACGACCACTTCCGCAGACTTTTTGAAAAGTGTGTTCTCGCTATGTCGCAAGGCAACGGTTGACGCCACAAGGACGAGCAGCAACAGAATCCTAACGCTGTCCATCCTGAAACACAATGGGGAGCCCGGTTACTGTAGTGAAAACGGATACAAATAATAGCAGCCCCCCCCCAAAAAAAATTAGACTAGGCTAAAACTAATATATATTTTAAACCCCATCCCACCTTCCTCTTCTGTCTGTTAACGTCCTTGAGGTTCCTACCGATCCCAGAGAGAGAAAAAAAAAAAAAGGTTCCCCGTTCTTTGTTGAAGAAATGGTCTAGCTAGTGCTTTTTCTTAGTCCACTTTCGTCTCGTAACTTAGACTGTATCCTACTCAAGGGCACACCTTCCTCGTCCTCATTCTCCCCACCCTCCTCCGTATGAGGGGATCGCTTATCGTTCGACCTCAGTTCTGCCAAAGGGATGTCGTCCTCAGAATCCCACTCTTCGTGGTCCTGCTGAGGAAAACAGGGATTCTCCCTGGAGTGGCGATAACTTTCAGTAAATTTTATGGAGGTTCTCTCCGACTCCGAGTCCTCGATATCAGATTCTCGGTCTGAGGTGGGAGCCGCCAACGTTGATGGTCTGATTGGTCTTTCACCACTTTCCATCGTGGGTGTTTCCCAGCTTCGGAGTTCAGCTAACTTTAAATCATTGGCATGCGCTCTCTTGATTTTTCCACTAAGCTGGTCCCAAATTACAAAAGTAACTGGTCCTGTTTGTTCAGTTATTCTATAGTAGGGTCTCCATTTCAGATCTAATTTGCCTTGTCTAACATGCTTCTTGTAATACACTGGATCCCCAACTCTCAATTTTACTTCTCGGCGGTTTTTGTTAACATTGTAGTTCCTCCTCTTCTGAGCCCGTTTAATCCTCCGTTGAGCTTGGACGAAGATTTTGTGTTGTTGTTCGATTATAAGACGATGGTGATCTTCGCCCATGTACCTTCTATGAGGCTTCAACAGATTATCTACCTGCAGAATCACGTCGCGTCCAAATGGCATATAATATGGCGAGTATTCTGTTGTCTCGCACATAGAAAATCTCACTGCAGCTAATGCTTGAGTTAAATACAGATCCCAGTTCTCATTCTCCCCCATTGCTAATTTAGCTAAAATATCACCTAAGGATCAGTGGAAGTGTTCTACCTTTGCGTTGCTCTGTGGGTGGTATGGAGATGTGGTTATGTGCTTTATATTCAAACTGTTGAGAGTCTCCCTCATTATCTCATTGACGTTTTCAGTTCCATTATCTGTCACTAACTCTAAGGGGGCCCCATATCTGGGGAATATCTCTGTCAGAACTAAATTGGCTACCGTCTGAGCCTTTTTATCTTTTACGGCATAAGCTTCTGGCCAGTTGGTAAGCCAGTCGACAAAGCTGACTATGTAATTGTTTCCGCGAGGAGTTTCGCCATACGGCCCTGAAATATCTAAGCTAAACTTCTCAAATGGATAGGCTGGAGTGTCCGTTTCCACAAGTGGTCCTATCGTATGTTTATCGGCTCTGACCTGACATGTGATGCAGCTATTCACATATGCAGTCACTTCTTTGTATAAAGCCGGCCAGTAATATTTCCTACTGATAAGTCCGTACGTTTTATCTATGCCCATGTGTCCTAGGGTGTCGTGGTGCTGTGCTAGTATCCTACGTCGGAGTGAACTGGCTACGTACAGCCGGGGCCTCACTTCCCCATCCCTGTCGGAGAGATAATATAACCTATCTTCTTGTATTAGGTATTTTTGTGCACATGCTTCAGTTACCCGGCCCGCCTCTATTGCTTCCTTTAGATTCTTAATTTCATCGTCCATTTCGTACTCGCAGAATATTTCCGGGGGTCGGTCCTCTTCAATGTCACTCGAGTCTTCCAGTTCCCCTAAGCCGGTTCGATCCTTAATTCGCTGAGAGTTAATCACGTTTATCTGGTACGCCTTGTCATCCACCTCAGGTATAATGTTTACAGATTCCTCTTCTAACGCCCGAGGGATTCGAGAGAGCAGATCGGCGCATGTATTGTCCCTCCCCGCCAAATACTCTATTTTACAATTATACCCGCTCAAATTTATGGCCCATTGTTGTATTTTCCTGTTGGTAAGTTCCGCTTCAAATAAATACTGTAGGGGTTTATGGTCAGTCTTGATTATAAACTTCGCTCCGCTCAGGTAATAGTCTAGTTTTTGTAATGCATAGACTATGGCATAGGCTTCTTTCTCGATCACAGGCCACCTCTGCTGAGTAGGGGAGAGCCGGTGGGATAAGAAGTAGATGGGTACCTCCTTTGGTATCCCTGGCACGGGGCCATCCTTGTCTGGACAGGGCTGGGTCAGACATGCCCCAATGCACTGATCACTCGCATCAGTGTACAGTATCATGGGCCTATTCAGATCTGGATAAGCCAATAGGGGGACAGCAGTCAGCTGTTCCTTCAGGGCATCAAAGGATCTTTGGCAATCTTCCGTCCATTTGAATCTAGCATATTTTTTTGTTAATGCTATAAGTGGTGTGGCTATCCTGGAGAATGCCGGAATGAATCTCCGGTAGTAGCCTATCGCCCCTATAAAGCCCCTAACCTGCCGAATAGTTTTTGGTGCAGGCATTGCCCTGATCACCTCAACTTTATCCATATCTGGTTTAACCCCCTGTTCGTTGATTATGTATCCCAAGTACCTTGTTTCTTTATGCATGAATTGGCACTTAGATAGCTTAATCTTTAACCCGTGTTTCCGCAATTGGGAAAAAACAATTTGCAAGTGCTGAAGGTGTTCACTTTCACTGGCGGAGAAAATCAATATGTCGTCCAAGTAAGCCATTGCAAATTGCTCTAACCCCCCCAAAACTACTGACATAAGCTGCTGAAAAATTCCTGGGGCATTGGCGAGTCCGAATGGCATTACTCTAAACTGATACAGACCCGCGTGGCACACAAATGCTGTCTTTTCAAGGTCATTCCTGTCTAAAGCTAACTGCCAATATCCTGATCTTAGATCAAGCTTAGAAAAATATTTAGATTTTCCCAACAAAGCCAAGATATCATCAATCATTGGCAAGGGGTAGGCCATGGGCCTCGTGATTTTATTCAAGGCCCTAAAATCGACACAAAACCTATGTCCTCCATCCTTCTTACTGACTACTACTATTGGAAAACTCCACGGGATTTAGAGCGTTCAATCACCCCTGATTCCAGCATATCATTGACTGCATCCTCCACCAGTTGACGTTTGTGCATCGGTGTCCGATACGGTTTTAATTTTATTGGTGTGTGATCCCCTGTGTCAATCTTCATCTGCACTGTTTGTGTCCGACCCAAGTCCTTATCAGAGTTAGCCACCACGTCCTTATTCTTAAGTATTAGTCGCCTTATGCTCCCCATGTGTTCAGGCGGTGCCAGTATTTCCTCCTCGTTTACTATCGAGTTTACCTGAACATGAGCTAAATGTTTCTTGCTCACCTGTTGCCTTATGATAGTTGTGGGCGTTGCTCTTCCTATCTCATCCCCTTTCTCTATTTTTATCGTTGTGTTCGTGGCATTTCCTAGCATTATTGGGATGTCATTAGTGTCCCTATATTCGACCACCGATTCGCATAACGTGATTTCCCTTCCTCGAAGTAACCTTTATCAGTTGGAGTTACCTGATATATTCCTTGCCTTAGGTTTTCTGCTGGCGATAGCCTTCCGTTACATGCAATAGCCGTGCGCGGCGGCAAAACAATGTCCTTACTAGTAAGAACGACCACTTCTTCATTCATCGGAGCTCCGAGAGGAATCTCCTTTCCACCTAACTTTAAGAAGGTTGGATTAAAGCTGATTTGAGCCTTATTGTTCTCCAACCAGTCTCGGCCTAATATCATTGCCCTACAGATGGTTGGGGCTACATAAAATTTCTGCATAGTGGATATCCCCTCCCACACTTATAGGCAGGGATATCGCACCGGTTATCCTTATTTCTCGTCCGTCTGCCTGAATTATCTTCATATCCTGCGGCTTCGAGTCTCCTAATTTTTTGGTTTAATGCCCTAAAATCTCTTAACCTAAAAATTGATATGCATGCCCCCGTATCTAATAATGCCTGTTCGCATTTGCCGCTCACCAGCACATCACAAGTTGCTTCAGTACCTTGGCTGAGCAACGCATAACTTCGGGCCACCCTTACATCCCTCGGGGTGGCCCTTCCGCGTTTCCCGATTGTCGTTCGGTTTCTTTTCTGGCACGTAAGGGCCCCTCCTGACGAGGACATTCCCTCATCAGGTGCCCCAGCCGACCACATCCCCAACATCCCGGTCTGCCAGGAACTGGGCGTGACTCTGTCCAGCTCCTCTGCGGGGTATGGTTTCCCCAATGGTGATCCGTCCCACCGTACCTCCACCGTCCCCTATCGTTCTGGGGAGGCCCTATATATCTTCCATCACCTTGCCCCCGCGCCCCCCACATTTGCTCCCGAGAGGTTGCCAGCCTTTCGTGCAGCCTGAGGCTCTGTTGTGCTGCATTGAATGCCTCCGTCAGAGTGGTTGGGTATGCCCTGGCTGTGTCCTCTCTCACGAACGAGTTTTCGATTGCGTCCGTGAAAAACTCAGCCAGCTGCATCTGAATTACCTCGCCCTCTCGTTGAACTGCGTCCTTATATGCTATCTTAGCCAGTCCTAGAATCCTACTCGTTAGTTCTGGCAGAGTTTCTCCTTCTTTCTGTCTAACCTTAATTAAAGACCTTGCAGCATTAGCTGCACTAGTACAATCACCATATTGATGAGTTAGCTGTTTCAAAAGTTCATCCCAACTACATTCAGGATGATCCTCTAAATACAGCCCTATATATTCTGATACTACTCCATCTTAGTAGTCGTAGGCCACATTAACTATCTCTGCCTGCGAAAGCTTGTGTATTCTACTCTTTTTTTTTATGGCTTCAACCCAAGCCTGGAATTCGGAAGATCTACCTTTAAATACAGGTATTCTCGACCCACTTGATCCGATAACATGAATCCTATCCATACTAAACTATTACAATTCTAACAAGTGGCAAAAAAAGAAAGAAAAAAAAAATCAAAACCAATACCAAGAATATGCCAGCGAGAATTTTGAACAGACAAAATTAGGGAGTAAGGAATTCGGCTTACCTTAAGTGAATCAGTGCTTGTTGATTACGGGTTCCTTTTCTTTCTTTGTTTCTTTTTTCCTTTTTTTTTTTTTTTTTTTTTTTTAAAGCTTATACCAAGCAATTAGAATGTCTTTTAGTGGGTGTGACGATCAAAAAAATCTAAAAGAAATTCTTCTGTCTGCTGAGGTTCCTAGAGTGATTCTTCATTTGGTCGTTAGAGTGTTTCTTCCTTCAATTTCCTTTTTCCGTTCGTCTTGTTTCGTTTTCTGTCCAGTCGCGTCGGTTCGTTGAAATCCAAACTTTTAGCATCCAGTGGCACTTCCGTGGATTCCGAATCCTGGGTTAACACGGCACCAATTGTAACACCCACTGTGAGCTCCATTACAATTTCTCCGGCGGCCGTTCTCCACGCTGTGATGTTGCCGGGGTTGGTTGAAAAAGTCGAAGTCTCAAGCTGGGGGCACAAGATAAACCATTGAAGGAACGAACTTCCACAACTTAGATGAGTTTAATCAAGCTTTATTTTGTTCAGACTTAGTCTTGCCGTTGGGGTAGGCGATGTGACACTCAGCTCTAACTCTAACTAATGGAGATCAAATGCCGAACCGACCGACTCAGACGAACGGAGTTTCACTTCTTCAGTGTGTCTGACACACGTGGCTACTTCAAGCACACATCCCCGCTGAACTGCCCGGCTCGGAAAAATCACTCGTATTTATATTGAACTAATCGGAAGTCCCTAGACCACCGGGTGAAAACAAAAGATAAGCATTGGCGACTGTAAGTTAAAAATTTCAAGGTACTTAAATTTTGCTTTCTTTGATGTGTAAAAATCCTTGTCTAATCTTGTCTGTACGATGTATTTTCCAGGATTTTTAAATCTTTTATCTTAACAAATCTTCGTGTGAAGGCCGTCGGATGTTTTTATAGCCCTTTTCTTTTTTTATTGCCTGGAGAAAGGGAAAATTCTGTTATCTTTTCTTTATTTCCTTAATGTGTTGTCGAGATACAGTAAAGACGGTTTTTTTGACCTGGTCATTTAAAATCTATTTCCTAAACGTTTATCTTTTATCACATCTAATCACTTAGTCAAATATTTTATTGGATGACTGGTAGGATTTAACAGTAATCTGATGCCCTTTTCTCTTCCACAAATTTGCTTATAAAAGAAAAAAAGTTTTATTTATTTATTTTTTCCTTTTCTTTTTCCTTAGTACTTTTGTTAAACGAAACACATGTTTTTAAACTATTTTTCTATTCTTAACCGTTTTCTATTCTTAATTTATTAAAATAAAATACATATTTTACAAATCAACTTTAATAGACTCCTAGTTATCGTGTCATTCTATATAAATACTAGCATGATTTCTCAGTTAGTTTGCAGGGTTTGTATTAAGTTACAACCTGCTTTATTTTTGTCTGCCAGATGGATGCTAGTTGGGACTCTTACGCCGGTAAGTGTTGTTTATTGTATTGTTATTCTACAATAGGATAGGCAATTTTTACTATCAGCCCTTTAATGGGTGCCAGGCTGGTCGTTTCCCTGTAGCTTGGTTGGAAGCGTGCTTTTGTACGTACATGGCGGCTGATATCTTTTAGTGTGCGTGCCGAATACCTCATGGTACCAGCAATAACCGCGCTGATGGTGACGGGGGTGCCGTGACGTTGAATGTCGTCGATGAGTGTTGTGTCGGTTCATTGAACTGCTTCAACTTCTTTTTGCTGCATTTTGAACTTTGTCCAGATGTAAGGAAAGTCATCTTAATTCTGATGCTAAAGCTTGTAGTTGTTGGTTGATGTCTGGAGGTAAGTTGCCTGACGACATGATGGAGGAAATCCGACGAGTCAATCGGGTATCAGTAATTTTGTCGGCTCTGAATGTTGACTTCATCAGTTAACGCAGCTAGTATTTGAACTATGCCTGGATTTAACTTGTCCAGCCACATTTGCTTTAATACTGTTTCAGACATAGAATTGTTACCAAGCAAGGTTTGCATCTTGCATAAAAGTTGGGACGGTTTATTATTCCCCAGTGTTACATTAGTTAGGAGATCTTCTGAGCAACCGGTCCGTTATAGTATAGCCTGTCTAAGCACCTTGTATGGTTTATCTGGTGGGATATTTGTTAGGATGTCCGTTACCTCAGCTGCCACGTTTGCAGGTAGTTTTTCCACCACAAATGCGAATTTGGATTGTAGTGAAGTAGTATGCCTAGCTTGGAAAATTGCGTCAAGCTGGATGAACCATGTTTATGCGTTGGTGTTATATGTCTGAAGCTCCAATCTGAGAGTGGCTTCGGTCGGTGGCATCGGTTCAGCCATATTGATTCTGTACCTTTTTGGAGGGAAAGAAAAGGTGAGTTTGACACCTTTTTAACGGGTAAACGGTTGCAGGTTTTGTGATGAGTGATGGCTGTTAGCGCTGCTAGGTTTGTTAACAATGTGTAATGTGCCGGGGGTTTCAATTTTTGTTACTTGAAACGTCGTGGTCTCTAACTTTTGTATTGGTTGAGGCGTCAGAATCGTCAATTATGTTGTTTTCTGTTTGTTTTTTAGTTTTTTTTTTTTGCTGGAACATCGGAGTAACCAATTTTTACTGCAGGTTTAAACATCGGGGTCATCAATTTTGTTGGGGAATTTGTGCTAATTTGGATGTGTCAGATGGTGAAAATTGTGTGAAGGCTTAAAAATGTATGTGTTCGTTAAACATTCATCCACAACAAATAAAAGAGGCAAACATTTGAAGGCAATTCAATTGGAAGAAATCAAGGAGAAACAAAGTAGTTATAGATTTCAACAAATAACATGAATTTATATACATTTGACATACACAAAGTGAATTTATGATTGCTTGATAAATGTGGCAAGTGAGATAAAATTGTAAGGAGTGACCTTGCAGACATTTGGTGTATGAAAGCCTGTAGTTTAAGTTTGTCTATGAAATTAAAACAGTTTGAATTCTGCAAGGTGAAATGTCACTTGTGTGAGTTGAAATATTAGTGTGTATGTGTGTGACAATTGTAGATATTGTTTAAGGTAATAAGGAGCGTGATCACACCCCTGGAGAACCGGTCGGGGAGGGCCCCCTGCCGGAACCAGTTGTTGAACATGACAGTCAAAATCGGGACAAAGATGTGCAACTGCCTCAAGTACAATTCATAGGGCAAACCATCCAGACCAGGCAACTTGCCTCTGCCAACCTTCTTCAATGTTGTGTAGACTTCACCAATGTACCGATCGGAACCTCGACGGACATCTTCCTTGTGCAAATCTGCACCCATGTTCACTACTTCGGAAGACATCTTGCTTAACCTATGCCTAATTACCTGGCCCATGTAGTGCTTGCTATTCAAGCGCTCCATGGCCTCCCTAGCTAAGGCTATCTCTAGGGGATCCCCTCCAGCCACCGCCCAGGAAAGACTAGCCTTAAACATCTTCACCTTCTCAGATCACTCTAGAGCGAGCCATTTGCTGAAATCTGTGGTGAAGGACCTAATCCTACGCTTAAGTTTATCCCACCAATTATTCATGATAACTGCCCCCACTAGCTCCCGCTGCACTAAGCTAGTTAGCTACTCCCAGAAGTCCCGCCTTTCCAGTAAAGACAGATTGAACTTTCAGTAACCAGCCATTCTAGGCCTACCATCTAATGCCATCCGGGCACAAACAAGTTTGTGGTCCATACAGCCTACCCAGTGGGACAATCTAACAAGTCTACGTCGGCTACTCTAATATTGTCCAGGTAGCTAACCACCAGGTCAGAAGGCCAACTAAGAGCCCACATCCACATTTTCCCCCCGGGGTGATCGACCCAGTATCTATCAATGAGACCATATTCGTTGATCTGATCAACCAAGATACTAGCACCCTGCCCCGATCTAACTTGGGGTCCAGAATGGCATTCCAGTCCCTCATAAAACTAGTAAATACAATAAAGAAATAAACAGTAAAGAATGCAGAACTGAAAAACAAATACGTACAAAGAAGGAGGAAAAAAACAAAAAAGAACAAAAATCCAAAAGTTTGCAAAAAATTTGAAATAAAGTAGAAATGCCTTTAATTCGTCCGACATAAAAGCTGTACCACGATCAGAGTGCACAAAAGAAGGGTTTCCAAAAATGGAAAATAAACTGGTTAGATGTTTCTTGACAGTCACTGCTGAGACATCAGCACGAGGGTAAGCGAAAGGAAAACGGGAGTATTCGTCAACCACTGTTAGTATGAACCAATTGCAAGGATTTGAAGGTAAAGGTCCCTTGAAGTCTATACTTAATCTTTCAAAGGGTTGGCTTGCTTTTATTTTATTTTAATGAATTTAGGCTTTATCTTGGAACACACTTGGCATGACCTGGTTACCGCTCTTACATCTTCTACAGAGTATGGCATATTTTTACTTCTGACCAAATGCAGCATTCAGGTTACCCCTGGGTGACATAAATCTTTGTGCAAGATATGTAGTTTGTCAACAGAGATGGTAGAAGAGTAAATTCGTGATAAAGCGTCCGCAGCAGCATTTTGTTTTCCCAGACGATACACTGTCGTAACTGAAACAGGCAAGTTCTAATTTCCATCTTGTGATCTTCTCATTTTTTATCTTGTTTTTACTTTTAAGATTGAACATATAGGAGACAGATTTCTGATCTGTGATGAGCTTAAAATGTTTCCCGAGTAATAAGTGTCGCCATTTTCGAATCACTTCTACAATTGCATAGGCCTCCTTTTCAACTGATGAGTGCTTTTGCTCAGCAGAAGTTAAAGTTCTTGAAAAGAAAGCTACAGGCCAACAGTTTTGGGTGAGAGAGGCAGCAATAGCATGTTCCAAAGCATTAATCTCAAAAGGTAGAGTCTATAGCCACCAGAGATGATTTTGTGATCTCCTTCTTTAGATGCTTGAAGGCATCCGTTTGTTCTTTAGTGAGAGGAAAATGGGTAACTCTAGTTAAGGGATCTCATTTTTCGGAGAAATTTGATATCCACCTAGAATAGTGAGAGAACATCCCCATTGCTCATCGGAGAGAGGTATGGTCTTGAGGTATTGGCAGAACCACCAATCCCTTGAGTTTGTTGGGGTCAGGTTTTACTGAACCCATGCTTATAGTATACCCAAGCAAGTCCACTGAGCTATGATTCAGTGTTAGGCCGTACTTTGCCACAATATTCATAAATTTCTTAAGATTGTTGTCATGTTCTGCCTAGTTATGACCACAGTAACATTGTCGATATAGGCATAGGGTCCTTGGAGGTTTTCTTACTTGATAATGTCATCGATGACTCGCTGGAAACTCGCTACTCCATTGGTCACTCCAAAAGGGATTCAACAAAATTGGTACAGAGACCCAGCAGCTTCAAAGGTGGTATATTTTCGTTCTTCTGGCTTGATGGTGTGGTGGTGTTGTAAGATATGTTGGCTAGGGTCACCATGAAATGTAATGGCAATCAAGAAGGAAAGCTGTGTTCTTATAAACAACACTCCACATGAAATATGCACAGAATATATGAGAGAAATAAGTCAAGCTCCATGAACATTAAATAAATATTTGTATTTTAACAACAATATACAAACATCAACAATAAGCATGAAAAAGTTACTTCCCTTTGTCTGTAATAAAAAAGGGTGAATGCAGTTAAGTAATGTTGAGTTACAATATTAAATGTTAATTATAAAGTTCAATTAATGTTCTTAGCTCAATGAAGAATAATTCCACAGTCTGTTTGTGAGTGAAAAGATGTAATGTGCACAAGTGATATTAATAGAAGTTAATAAGATTACTCGAATGAGTAATAACTAAGAATTAAAATGTAATAAGTAATATAGCGCCGTACCATATATTCAGAGAATTGAACTGCTACTGCATAGGCTCAAGTGAGCTTGGCACCAAAAAATATTAGAAAGATACTAAAATACGTGATTGGCCAGGAAATGGACCAATCCGTGATTTTAGAAAAAAGTTCAAATAATGTGCGATGGCAAAATTGTCATACAGTAAGTATCATATTTATGAACCAATGACATTAAAGAAAGCTGAGGTGTGGCACATGTAAGTGATCACCACAATACCCCCCTCCAGACTGAAAAGTCAGGGAAGAAAGAGTTTTCAATATGTAATGAAAGTTCTGAACTTCTTCGGCCAGTGGACGGTACGTCCGCTAGCAGTCCTAGTAGTTGCTGGTGATGAAGGCTGTCTTGTGAAGGGCTCGTAAGTTGATTGGTTGATCCATCGCTTTCAATACATGCAGGTTTTAGGCGATCGATAGAGAAGGTCGATCGGACGGTTAGTCTGTAGAGTATAGTATTTATCAGTCCGTGCAAGGACACTAAATGGACTCACATAACGTGGTGTGAGTGGCTTTCTAACCGAATCTTGCCATACAAAAACGTACTCGCATTCCAGTAAGGAAGGCGGCACATAAACGTCATGTGAAGTGTAACGGGTTGGAGTAAAAGCAAGAGAAGACATTTTTTTTCGAAAATAGGTGATAAAACTGGATGAAGGTTCTGGTGTAGATGTTACAGAGAAAAATTGTCCTGGTAGTACCATCTGCTGTCCAAAAACTAGATCAGCAGGCGAGCATTTCAGATCTTCTTTAACTTGTGTGCGAAGTAAAAGTAAGACAAGAGGTAAGTTGTCTATCCAAGAGGATTGGTTAGTAATGCCAATGCTGATCAAAGCAGCCTTAAGTTGGCGGTGGAACCGCTCAACTAGGCCATTGGAACATGGGTGGTAAGCAGTTGTTGATATGTGGCAAGCTCCAAGTAAGTAAATTCCGTGAATAGGTGAGATGGGAACTGCGGTCCCCGATCAGTGGTAATGATTGAGGGGCATCCGTAAATGGAAATCCAATGTTGAAATATGGCTCGATCCACGGATTCAGCGGTAGTGCTGTTGTGTGGAACGGCAACCAGCCATCTCGTAAATCTATCTATAATTGTCCAAATGTATTGACATCCCCGAATCTCTGATAAGGGACCCACTAGGTCTGCATGTAGACGTCGGAAATGGCCATCAGGGGCAGCAAAACGACCAGCTGGTGATTTAGTGTGTCTCTGGATCTTGGTTTGTTAACAAACAACACAAGATTGAGTATAGCGAGTAATGTCTTTACACATCTTAGGCCAGACGAAACGGTCTGCAATTAACCTAAGTGTGGCTTTACGACCAGGGTGGGACAACGAATGAAAGTGGTTGAATATTTGTAGCCGCATGTTGGTTGGGACGACGGGTCGAGGATTATGTAGACTGGTGTCGCATGCGATAAGCTTATCAGTAAAGGGCAAGGGATGATGCTCAATATGTAGTGACGAATTTCGAAGTGAGTCAAGCAAAGTTATTTCCTGTACTTGTTCATCCGCGATATTTTCCATGTCCAAAGTATCTTGCAGGCTTCTGCACAAGGATGCTCTTGAAAGTGTATCGGCAGCAATGTTATCCTTTCCCTTAATGTGACATATATCTGATGTAAACTGGAATATATAATCAAGATATCTGTCGTCCCGAGGATTGTACTTGTCTGGTTTAGTTGAAAGGGCAAAAGTGAGGGGCTTGTGATCTGTGTAGATCACAAAGTGTCTACCCTCTAAAAGGTGTTTGAAATACGTAATTGACAAGTATATAGCTAAAAGTTCCCTTGAAAAGGTACTATACTTCTTCTGTGTAGATGTCAACTTAACGGAGAAGAAGTAAATTGGCAAAGATTTAGCATCAACATGTTGGTGTAAAACTGTGCCTATGGCGTCAGAAGATACGTCAGTCATTAATGAGAGCTGAGTGGTAACACCGTCAGTGAGGCATGAAAGTTTCGTAAAGTTGACCAATGCTTTATGAGAGATGTCAAATGCTTACGTTGTGTCGTTGTTTTAACAAATAGGAGTAATTTTACGGTCTTGCCCGCAAAGGATATTCGTCAGGAGTGCAAGAATTTGTGAACAACGTGGGATGAATTGACGAAAATAATTAATTAAGCCAATGTATCTGCGAAACTGTTGAAGCGTGGAGGGCTTCGGAAATTCATGGATAGCACGTATCCTTTCAGGCAGGGGAGTAATACCTCTAGCATCAATGATGAAACAGAGAAAGTGGAGTTGCGAAATGGCAAACTCACTTCTCTGGGTTGATTTTTAAGCCAAAGTTTTGAAGACGATCAAAGACTTGCTGATTATGTTTACGATGCTCCTGTAAATTTGGGCTAGCTATTAGTAGATCATCAGTATATGCGAAAGTGAAGGATAGTTCACGAAGTATCTCATCTATAAGGCGTTAGAATGATTGAGCTGCGTTGTCCAGTCCAAAAGGCATACGCAGAAATTCGAATAACCCAAACGGCGTGATAATCGCAGTTTTAAGTATGTCTTCATCAGTGACTGAGATCTGCTGAAAGGCTTTGCGCAGATCCAGTTTGGTGAAGACAGATGCTCCCTCTAAGGTGACAGCAAAGTCAGTCAAATTGGGAACTGGGTACTTATCGGGTACCGTCTGTGAATTAAGACATCTATAGTCACCACACGGTCTCCAGGCGCCCTGCTGGGCCTTAGTGACCATGTGAAGCGGTGAGGCATATGGACTCGAGGAGGGGCAAATAATCCCTAGGTTGAGCATGTGTTGGAACTCGGCCCGGGCAATCTCGTATTTGTCCGGTGCAAGACGGCGAGGTTTAGAATAGACAGGCTGTTTGGTAGTTCGAATCCTGTGTACAGTGTTGTGCTTGACAGGCTCTGTATAGGTAAAAGGCTGTATCAATGAGGGAAATTTATCCAGAATATCTTGAAGTGAATTATCACGCGGCACAGCGATGCGTAATTCCGTAGATGTTAGCTGTGATATAATTCTGCGGTTAGATAGCTTCGTGGTGGAGTCAGATAACTGACGCTGTGAGAGGTCCACAATGAGTTGATAATGTGCCAAAAAGTCGGCACCTAAAATGGGGAATTTCACATCTGCAACAGTGAATATCCATTGGTATGTCCTTCTAAGTCCAATATCCAGTGTTAACGATTGTTCGCCAAAAGTCTTGATATTCGTGCTGTTAGCGGCACGTAAGGTGACTGAAGAGTTAGTCTTAGTGCAGTTGGCTGTGCTCCTGTATCTATCAGGAATGACATGTTAGTGTTCCTGTCTTTTATATAGAAGAGACGGTTCGTAGTATGTGTCCCAACAGCAGATGCCACCTTCAAGCGCTGCTGGGACCGGCGTTTTCCCACCTTCCGTGATGCATTGGGTGAAGGCTGGCACTCAAAGTTACAAGGCTTAACGCATCTGTGGGCTCTATCACCATAGTTAAGATGGTACCAGCATAGCATGGGTCGGCGAGCACAAGGAGCAGAATGAGAGCGTTGACGTATCTTATATGAATTTTTATCCTCTGCTCTGGTAAGGTGCTGTACTTGTTATGGGTTGATTAGTAGTCGGGTTGATCAAATATATAAATGCGGCTGCGTGTCGAGAAGATAATCAACATCCGTACATAATATTTAAACATCAAGGAAAAAAGAACAATGAGAACCAATTTTGTTTAACGAAGAAATATATATATTAAACTCAACAAATAATACAAAAGTAGTTGTAATATGAGTGAAAAAGGGGAAAAAAAAGTAGCTTCCCTTGACTGTAGGAAATGTCTTAAAAAAGATTTGTCTGAGTAAATGTTCAGAGTTCAATGTTGAAAATAGAATATTTCTTTCAGAAAATTGTTCAATTGTTGCAACTTAAAAATTTGATTTAACTTGGTGTGTCCACTGAGAACTGGTGGTGTGTCACAAAAGTTCTGTAGTGTGTATGTACGTGCGGAGTGAGTAGGATGAAAATACACGAGCGAGTAAATGAGAACTATTGTCTCTGGATACCTCGACTGTGGTTCTGAAATTACTACTAGTTTGTTTGTTTTTTTTTTTTTTGGAAAGCATATACTACCTAGGGAGGCTCCCAGCAGAGACGCTGTGGTACATTTTTGAATATACATGAAAAATATCTGATTGGACGGAAAATGGACCAATCACTGATTTTGTAGCAAAGCCTGTTTTGAACAAGGTGTAGGAACAAATTTACTATGGTGAAATGCGATAGTTAAATTGTCCTGTTGTTTTTAAGTATGTATTTATTGACCAATTAGAATTGGAGAAAATGTAGGCGTGGCGGAGGGTAATGTCTTGCATGCTTGTCCTTCTTGATCTGAATCTAGTGTACATGGTTTTTCAGTAAATGAATCGTTAAGTAATGAATTAATAAAAGATTTCGGAATTGAATTATCTGGTGGCGTATCTGGTATGACCCAAGCTGGACTTTCTGGAAAATTAATTGCGGGTTGGTAAGTTGGCGGTGTTTCAATTAATTCGGGGGAGGGGGGTATGGTTATTTCACTGTCTATTGGGCTTTCTGTTGTTTTTTCTGCCGTTGTAAGTTTAATTCTTTTGTTTGGGCTAAGTGTGTCTATCGTCTCGTGTGGATAGTTTAATGACCTTTTTGGTTTTCTCGTTACTATGAGACTTTTTATATAAGTATTTTCTAAGACGGAGTTTATGTGATCTCTCCATATTGTTAACCACATTAGTGGATTTAATTTACATATTCCCCATTCTTGTAAGCTAGTCATTTTCGCTCTAGTTTTATAGATTATCATTCTATGTTTGAGGGGTTCTTCTTCGTGCGGCACGACGTTCCATATGTCGCTGTTACTAGTGGAAAGACTCGGAGTACGTTCGATTAGTCTCTCGCTCTGGTGTTTAACGTTGACTAATACTTGGGTCCCCTCCAATATACACTCAACATTTTCCTTACTGAACCACAACTCGTCCGTATATATAATGGACTTTTCCGCGCATGAGCCAAAGCAGAAGCTGTCTGATTTTTCTGTCCGGATTGTTCCACTATTCATTAGCCCTTCTACAATAGATTTTAATATGTAAGATTTGCCACTTGTTGTCGGGCCTTGTACGTGGAAGCTATTTATTTTCGGTAGTATTTTATGACAAACGTTAAATAAGTCTTTACCGAATGTCTTTGGATCTATTCTGTGGAATTCGCACCATTCGTCGTAAATGTCGAGACTAGTATTAATATCCCAATATGTTTTACCAATTTCGCTCATCAGATATTTCTGTTTCCATATTGGAGTTATTCTAGTTTCGCTATTAATTTCTGCTGCTGCATCTGCAATAAGTGATTTAATGTTCGGTGTTGATCGGTAAGTTACGTTCCGTTCTTTTTTTATTTTTTGATCTTCTGATACGTGAACGTACTTCATAATTTGTCCCTGGTCAGTAGCTGCTGCTGCTTTCATCAGTGATTTGATAAAGGCAAATTTATTTTGCCTTACTGTGTCTGTTGCAATGTTAATTTTGTAATGTTCGTCTTGTTGGACTGTTGTAGAGAACTCTTTGTTAGTTAATTGTTCCATGAATAGCTTTTGTGAATGTGTGTTTAAATCGTTAGTACAGAGTAGTTGTCGGTCCACTATTCCTTTCTTAAAATAGTCTATCAAACCGTCCGGCTTGAATATCATTGGGCATGTCATGTCGTATTGGTGACTAGCTTTGTCCGATTTCATGTATTCTTTAAGTTTTGAGAATGCATAGTTTGATGTGGGGTGTTGTTTTGCCCAGATGATTATATGAAAGTGTGGTCTTTCGCTGCAGTTTTTCGCCTGAGCGTAACTTCGATCGTGGTAGATAAGTATGGATGGCATTCCTGTAACAATCTTTATCAGGTATTTTTTATATTCTTCAACGTTGTAGTTTAGTATCGTTGCAGGATGACAATATGGACCGAATTCACTCCACTGGAAGTCGTATTCATGTTGAAATCTGTATATAAATGTGTAAGCCGTTAGGCCGTTGTTGTTGTTGTCGAAAAATTGTTTGTTAAAATCGCTGTCCAAGTTCTGCTTGCGTGAAGAAAAGTCGGACATGTTGACGACTGTGCGGCTGGCCTCCTAATGTTATTCACTTTCTTTGTGTTTTGTATTTATAATGGTTGGCAACATGTGTTTCCTATTGATTTCAAGTGTTTTTGAACGTAAGTGGTAACAGATGTTTTTAAGTGTTTTGTTTACCCGTTACCGAACCTGCCGGTGTGATTGAATGCTGTGTGAGTAGTATTGTACATGTCGGTTGTACGACCGTGTAGACACTGCTTAACTCTGTTGGCATGGAGATGCCTCATTGGTTTAGTTATGTCGTATAATTCCCAACTGTTGGGTTGACCTGTAATTGAATTAGCTGCTGCTGTTGATTGTGTCTGAATGACCTGTGGATGCTTGTATTGATCGTACCAAGTTGTAACTGTTGCGTCGTATTCGATGCGGAATTCAGCGTAAACGTTGTCGTTTTTATTGTTATGTTTCGGATTATCTGCGGTACGTTGATATATACATTTGTTGGCGGGTCTTCTGTAGTGTATAGTTCGTAGTTTAGTAAAGTCCTGTTCGCTACGCAGTATGAACCAGCTCTTTTTATATTAGGATTATCTAGTAATGTCTACAGTGTATACAATACCCTCCACAAGATTGGAAAAAAGGTGATGAAAAGACAGTTTTTTTTTTTTTTCAATATGTTATGTAATGTTTGCCAATGGACCTTCCTACCTTTTTTGGTGTGTTTTGGCGCAGGTGTCTGGGGTTGGTACTGTATGTCGCCTGGTGTAGTTGGTGGTTAAGATTTTGAGTAGGATTCCGTGCTTTGTTCTACGTATGCTGGTTTCAGGCGGTCTATCGAGATGTTTGATCGTCCGCTAGGGAGTAGAACAGTGTAGAACTTGCTATGTCGTGTGAGGACACAGAATGGGCCCGTATAACTCGGTGTGAGTGGTCTTTTCACTGCATCTTGTCTAATGAAGACAAAATTACATTTGCTAAGAGATTCAGGGACAAATATATCCTTTGTCTGGAATCGAGTAGGTGTAAAAGATAAATTTGACATTCTACTCTGCAAATATTGAATAAAGGATGAAGGTTTTGAAACGGAGCTGTCAGACAGAAATTGCCCTGGCAAAACTAATGGCTGTCCAATGACAAGGTCGGCAGTTCAGCACTGAAGCTCCTCCTTCACTTGTGATCGAAGTGACAGCATTACCAAGGGTAAGTTGTCCATCCAAGATTGTTGATTACTAGCGTTGGAACTAGTTAAAGCGGCTTTTAGCTGACGGTGAAGATGCTCCACCAAGCCGTTAGCACAGGGATGGTAAGCTGTGGTAGAAATGTGTTTTGCTCCTAGGAGATTGATGAACTCCTTAAAAAGTGTGGACTGGAATTATGGGCTGCGATCTGTTGTTATAATTGATGGGCATCTGAAAAACAAGATCCAATTTCTCAGTAGTGCCTTAGCAACAGAATCGGCGGTCGTGGATTGAAGAGGGATAGCAACTGGCCATCTCGAAAATCTGTCGATTATGGTTAAAATATACTGGTGTCCGTGGACTTCCGGCAATGGACCCACCAAGTCAGCGTGCAGGTGACGAAATCGTCTGTCTGGCGTAAAGAAATTACCAGGCGGTGACTTGGTATGACGATGTGTTTTTACACGTTGACAAATGACACAGCATTAAGTCCAGCTTTTAATATCACTATTCATGTTGGGCCATACAAAGCGTTCAAAAATCATTTTCGATGTGGCTTTGCGACCAGGATCTGAAATTGAGTGAAAATGGTTGAATATTTTCCTCCTCATGCTGACAGGTACCAAGGGTCTGGGAGTGGAAGTACTTGTATCACATGTGATAGACTTTTCACTGAAGAGTAAAGGTTTCTGTTCTATTTTTAGCGACAAGTCTTGTAACGAGTTGAACAGAGTGATGTCCCTTACTTGTTTGTCTGCTAATTTTTCCATGTCCAGTTTGTCTTCAATGGTACTGTTTATGTACCTCGTGATAGCGTGTCGGCAACAATGTTGTCACTGCCTGCCACATGCCGTGTGTCAGTTGTGAATTGCAATATGAAATCTAATTGCCTATAATCACGAGGATTGTATTTGTCTGATTTAGTATGGAGGGCGAAAACTAGGGGTTTGTGGTCAGTGAAAACTGAAGTTTCGTCCTTCCAGGATGTGTCGAAAGTGTTGAATAGAGAGGTATATGGCTAATAGTTCACGTGAGAAGGTGTTATACTTCTTCTGTGTCGAAGTAAGCTTGACAGAAAAGAAATTGGCGTGGTTTGCTTATCGGTATTGTAGAAAAATCACGTGGTAGAGATAAACACTTAGTTGTGGAACAAGCTAAGTGAACAATAATCCAACCTTTAGAAAGAGAGCTATTTATGTTGCCATAGAGCATCTTATTGTGCTAAAGTAGGATAGTCCATTGCTTGGGCTGTGATTGGCTGCTGGTACCTGAGTGGAGGTATTTCTATATCTTGATTCAGCTGTTAGTTTGCAGGGTTTGTATTAAGTTACAACCTGCTTTATTTTTGTCTGCCAGCTGGACGCTAGCTGGGACCTTTACACCGGTAAGTGCTGTTTATTATTGTTATTCTACAGGTATGCTGATGCAAAACCGCTCAAATAGCTTCTGATGACACATCTGTAGTTAATGACAGAGTTGCTTTGTTGTCATCGTGCAAATATGTTAACTTTGTAAAGTTTGCTAGTGCTTCGTGAGAACTGTTAAAAGTAACGAGGGCTTCGTCTGTGAGCGTTATGGGGATGTTCTTCTTCCTTTGACCACGGAGTAGGTCGGTTAGTGGTGCTAATATTTGCGAACAGTTCAGGATGAACTGTCGGTAATAATTTATCAGTCTAAGATATCGACGGAGTTGATGAAGGGTTGTTGGTTGTGGGGATTCTTTCACTGCAGTAACCTTTTCAGAGATCGGCGTGATTCCTGACTCGTTAATAACATGCCCGAGGAAATTAGGCTTCGAAATGGCAAATAAACACTTGTCAGGATTTATTTTCAATCCAAAATGCTCTAATCGTTCGAAAACTTGCGTTACGTGACGCGCGTGGTCGCCCATGTTGGCACTTGCTATTAGTAGATCATCGATGTAGGCAAATGAGTGGTGTAAACCTCGAAGGGCTTCATCGATTAACCTCTGAAAGATTGTGCAGCGTTTGGAGAGACCGAAAAAGCAGTCATAAGAATTCGTAAAGACCAAAGGGTGTCGTTATAGCAGTCTTGTGCACATCTTCCTCGGCAACAAGAATCTGATAAAATGCTTTTCTCAGATTGATTTTTGTAAATAGTTTTGCACCTTGCAGAGAAATTGCAAAATCTGCCAAATTAGGTACAGGATACTTGTCAGGCACTGTTTGTGTGTTTAAATGTCAATAATCGCTGCATGGTCTCCATGCCCCCTCTTGCGTCTTAGGGACCATGTGGAGTGGAGATGTGAAAGGGCTAGACCAAGGCCGGATAATTTCTAAGTCTAACATGTGTTGAAATTCTGCGCGCTAGCTTATACTTCTCAGGACTTAACCTGTGTCGCTTGGAAAAGACTGGCAAGCCAAATGTTTGAATTTTGTGTACGGTGTGGTGCTTCACCGTTTCAGTATATGTAAAAGGGCGGACAAGTGTAGGATATTTGTCCAATATACCTTTGAGAGGGTTGTCTGCTGGCAAGGCGGCGCATAGTTTAGTGGAGGTGAGGGTGGAAGTAACTCCATAATTCATAAGATTCGTCGTCTGGTCTAACAGTGAGTGTTTCGACATATCCACAATAAGTTTATAGTGAGCCAAAAAATCTGCGCCTAATATTGGGAACTTCGACTTCAGCTACTGTAAATAACCATTGGAATGTTCTCCTCAACGTCATTGATACTTGACCGAAAGTCTGGATTTGTGATCCATTAGCAGCACGTAGGGTTACTGAAGATTTAGTATTTGAAAAACTGGGACTAGGTGGAATAACACTAATTTGTACACCTGTGTCTACAAGAAACATTTTGTCGGAGTTTCTATCTCTGACGTAGAATAGACGGTTGGCATTTCCTATCCCAACAGCAGTCGCCGTCTTCATGCGCTGTTGGGAATGGCGTTCCCCGCCTTCTGGCATGACGTAGAATTTGGTTGTTGTTTGAAATTGCATGGTTTGGTGCATTTTCTCGCTGCCTGTCCAAATTTGCGATGGTACCAGCAATACACATCGTTTCTTCCCCGAGAATTACATCGGGAACGTCGTTGGGTCTTGTATAAGTTGTGAGCTGAGGATAATCGCTCTCTATACAAATAGTCTGTTCAGATAGCCTATTAATTTGCTGTTGCAGCTTGTTAAATTCGTCCTCACGTGGCGTGTCGTGTAGTGTTGCAGCGTTGACACTGCTGATAGTTGCAGCATCACTTATCTTGTCCACTATCTCCACCGTTTTTTCCAAACCTAGGTTTTCGGGTAGTGTAGCTAGGATTTGATTTGTGTCGGTTGGTAATTTGTCCATCCACAATTTACGAAATAAAGAATCGTACATCGAGTTTTTGCCTAGCAAATTCTTCATTTTTCACAGTAATTGAGACGGCCTGCTATCGCCTAGCTGCAACGTATTGAATAAGTCATTCAGTTTACGTTCTTGTGACTTCCCCGTCCTGTAGATTATTGCCTCTTTCAGTGTGTCGAAAGGGTTATGTATAGGGACGTTATTTAATAAATCCAACACATCAGACGCAATTTCAGGTGGCAGTTTTTCCACGACATAGGCATAACATACCATCTGGGATTGTATCTTCTTCGCCTGAAATATAGCCTCTAACTGTGCGAACCACACATTGACATTGGTTGTGTCAAAGACTGGCAAGTTGAGCATCACGGTTGCTTCACTGGCGTTCTGTTCGGCCATGTTAGATATATGTTTTTACGCATGTGGTGGACAAAAAATTTTTTTGCGCCAAGTTGAAGTTTTTGTACGTTGAATTCTTTATACTGTGTTTGGCACAATATAAGGTTCACTTCACTTTTGTCTGTTATATTCCTTGAAAGTTGGTGTCACAAACTGTAGTTTGTTTCTGTTGGCATTACCAATTGTAATACCTACGTCGGGGTTACCAATTGTTATGGGTTGATTAGTAGTCGGGTTGATCAAATATATAAATGCGGCTGCGTGTCGAGAAGATAATCAACATCCGTACATAATATTTAAACATCAAGAAAAAAAGAACAATGAGAACCAATTTTGTTTAACGAAGAAATATATATATTAAACTCAACAAATAATACAAAGTAGTTGTAATATGAGTGAAAAAAGGGGAAAAAAAAGTAGCTTCCCCTTGACTGTAGGAAATGTCTTAAAAAAGATTTGTCTGAGTAAATGTTCAGAGTTCAATGTTGAAAATAGAATATTTCTTTCAGAAAATTGTTCAATTGTTGCAACTTAAAAATTTGATTTAACTTGGTGTGTCCACTGAGAACTGGTGGTGTGTCACATAAAGTTCTGTAGTGTGTATGTACGTGCGGAGTGAGTAGGATGAAAATACACGAGCGAGTAAATGAGAACTATTGTCTCTGGATACCTCGACTGTGGTTCTGAAATTACTACTAGTTTGTTTTTTGGTTTTTTTTTTTGGAAAGCATATACTACCTAGGGAGGCTCCCAGCAGAGACGCTGTGGTACATTTTTGAATATACATGAAAAATATCTGATTGGACGGAAAATGGACCAATCACTGATTTTGTAGCAAAGCCTGTTTTGAACAAGGTGTAGGAACAAATTTACTATGGTGAAATGCGATAGTTAAATTGTCCTGTTGTTTTTAAGTATGTATTTATTGACCAATTAGAATTGGAGAAAATGTAGGCGTGGCACTACATACTTGAGTGGAAAGCCTCTCGAGTTGCTGTTTCAGCTGTTCTATTATATCCATCATAGCAGCATCAGTGGGTACAGGGGAGTCCACGCTGCTGATGGTGGATACGTCATTAATTTTGTCAGCGATCTCAGCAGTCTTCGAGAGATCCAAGTCATCGTGTAGTGTAGCCAGAATCTGTGATGTGTGTGGCGGTAACTTATCCAGCCAAAGCTTGTGGAATAGTGATTCCGACATAGAGTTCTTCCCTAATAGATTCTTCATATGTCTAAGCGACGGGCGGCTATCTCCGAGCTGTATAGTATTAAATAGATCGTGCAACCTGCGCTCATGCAATTTCCCAGTATGGTAGATGATGGCTTCCTTTTGTATATCAAAGGGGCTATGAGTGAGAACGGCTTCCAAAAGGTCCAGCACGTCAGCAGTGATCTCTGGTTGCAGCTTCTTGACAATGTACGTGTAACGCGCAGTCTGAGAGTGAATGTGCTTTGCTTGGAATATGGCTTCGGTCTGGGCAAACCACATGTTTATATTAGTCATATCAAAAGTTAGGAGGGTCAGCACGACGACTGTCTCTTGTGCAGACTGATCAGCCATTATGAATAAACACATGGTGTATTGCTGTTTCGGCGCGAAGTAGTATCTCTCAATAAATTGGATCGGTGAGTCATCCGAATGTGGTTGGTATAAGGTTCCGAGACGTCGTAGTTACCAATGCTGTGCAGAAATTAGTTTGTTGTTCGGTTTCACCAGATGTAGGGTATGTCCAAATATATTCCGAACGAGGGAATGTCGTGGTTATGAAATGTGGAACGGAAAGTAGTTCTTAGGTTGGGGTTACCAATTGTAGTGGTGTTGTAAGATATGTTGGCTAGGGTCACCATGAAATGTAATGGCAATCAAGAAGGAAAGCTGTGTTCTTATAAACAACACTCCACATGAAATATGCACAGAATATATGAGAGAAATAAGTCAAGCTCCATGAACATTAAATAAATATTTGTATTATAACAACAATATACAAACATCAACAATAAGCATGAAAAAGTTACTTCCCTTTGTCTGTAATAAAAAAGGGTGAATGCAGTTAAGTAATGTTGAGTTACAATATTAAATGTTAATTATAAAGTTCAATTAATGTTCTTAGCTCAATGAAGAATAATTCCACAGTCTGTTTGTGAGTGTGAAAAGATGTAATGTGCACAAGTGATATTAATAGAAGTTAATAAGATTACTCGAATGAGTAATAACTAAGAATTAAAATGTAATAAGTAATATAGCGCCGTACCATATATTCAGAGAATTGAACTGCTACTGCATAGGCTCAAGTGAGCTTGGCGCCAAAAAATATTAGAAAGATACTAAAATATGCGATTGGCCAGGAAATGGACCAATCCGTGATTTTAGAGAAAAGTTCAAATAATGTGCGACGACAAAATTGTCATATAATAAGTATCATATTTATGAACCAATGACATTAAAGAAAGTGGAGGTGTGGCACATGTAAATGATCACCACAATGGCAACCTGGTGGTATGCACTGGTTAGATGAAATGTGTTATTAGGTTGGTTGAAAAATAATGTAGTTTTTTGACATTAAGTTGAACGTCAAAAACGACATTATTTTTGCACCAACCTGATAAATACCTGATAACAGGCAATCTCATTTACCATGTCCTCTATCCACAGAAGTGGATATGCATCCAGAAGAGTGAACTGATTTATCGTCTGGGAATAATCTACGACATGTCTCTTTTTGTGATTTTCAGGAGCTTGCCATGGTGATTGAGATGGCTCTATAATTCCTTCCTTCAGCATACACGATATTTCTGAATGAATGAACTTAGTGTCAGGTAGGCTCTGTCTCCTGGATTTTACTGCTATTGGATGACAGTCAGAAGTTAGATTCCCAAACAGAGAGGGGTAAGGGACATTATTAATTGCAGTTAGTCCACAAACAGAGGTGGAAGCAGTCCCCTGAAAAGTATTTTTACTGAAGAATGCTGACATAGGAAATTATACCCAAGAACGACATTGTAGCAGACCCAGCAGGACGCAGAAGGTCCTGGTACTGATTCAAAATGTCCAAATACTCCTTATTATGGCAAGTTGCCACGGTGATACCAGTAGTGGTATGTTTGGAGTAGGTTCCAAAAACACATAGTTTAGTCAGGTTATCCGTTAAAGAATGGTTGTTCATTCGAACAGCTAGATCATAGTGTGCCAGAAAATCGGCACCTAATATTGGCATCTGAACATCAGCAATAGTGAAATTCCAGGTAAAATCACGATGCATTCCTATATTTAAGGTAAGGGTCTTAGTACCGAAGGTGTTTATGCTGGAGCCATTCGCTGCTTGCAAGCGGAGCTGATAAGGCTTTAGACTTACTTTATTACAAACAGGTAACACACTGATGGCAGCGCCAGTGTCGACCAAAAAACGTAAATTACGTGTATCTAACACGTAGAAAAGGTGACTAAGCTTCTGTGAAGGTGCCTTGCCAGCAAGATTAGTCGCTCTCACTTGCTGGCGGTCTCGGTTCCTGCAACCGCAGTATAATTGCACGGCTTAGTGCAGTAATGTGCTGCAGAACCAAATCTACGATGATAGTAGCACATATTGGAAGAAGAGGTATCATCGTCTCGGCTAGACGAACGTTGTCGACTCCTAAAACGACAGCAGGAAGGAAACCGGTTTCAACCACGGTTTTTCAGAGCAAATGTCAGGTCTCTGACTTGCCGCCGTAATTCTTCCACAGCTTTCTCCAAGGACCTGTGGTCACTGGATGCTTCAGCACTGTGTACTGATGTCGTTTGGTGATCCAGTTGGGGAAAATACAATCTTCAGCGTCCGCTAACTGGTCGAGTGGGGTGTTCTCCGACATGGACGCCAAAATTTGTGTAATGGTGGTGGGGAGGCGATCCAACCACAGTCTTTTAAAAATTGGGTCAGCCATAATGTTTTTACCCAAACAACTCTTCATGAAATGTAAAAGTTGTGAAGGGGTTCTACCATCACGAGTTAAGTTGCTAATTAACTCGTGGATAAGCCACTTCAACATCACAGCATAAGTTAGCCATAACGGACAGCTTGACATTATTGTACTCTCTACCGCTTAGATTGAGGGATACTATATAATGTCCAAGAGTAGAGGATGAATGGGAACTGCTAGCCATAAAAATTATTTCTGAACTTGGCGAGATTGCCAATCCAAGCCTTTTAACCTCGTCAGAATTAATAAAATTTTCTGAGCTATTAGTATCAATAAGTATTTTTAGAGACTTGCCTTTGATTTTTCCACGCAATGTCGAGCAAGATAGACTCTCTGAGAAATTATAAGATGGAATGGAAGGCACAAAAATAGACTCACCATGGTTGATAGCAGCCACTGTAGGTGATCTGCAGACACGAGCAAAATGTCCTTTCTTTTTGCAATTGTTGCAAATGGAGTTTCAGGCAGGACATCTAATTCTGTCATGTCTCTGATTCCTGCAGAAGAAGCATTTTTGTCCAGAGATGGTGGCCACGGTATGTTCCTCATAGCACCCAGGCTGATCGTCATCATCAATTACCTCAGTTTGAACAGCAGAGACAGATGCATCTAATGAGTTCTGTTGAGTGTAGGAAACTAAATTGTTTCTGTGCCATCTCAAGTGTTAGCACCTGGTCATAAGCAGTGCCTAGATCTAGTGTTTTGTTTTCCAGGAGTTGTTGTCTGATGTGATTAGACAAAATTCCATTTATAAATGCATCTTATATGTATTCGTCTCTCGCTTGTATTGCCATAAGAGCCTGCAACTCGCAATCCTTGGCAAGTTTCTTTAAAGCTTGCAGATATTGTTCTACACTCTTGTCAGTTTATTGACGATGAGTAGCCAGCAGATGCCTACAGAAGATGGTATTTCTAGGCTGCACAAACACTCCTTCCAGAACGTCCATGTCGGAGATGTGTTTAAAGATAGTGGGAGAGACAAGGTTCATAAGTAGATTCACTTTCAGCCTGTCTGTCAGTGGAGTCTGTTGTTTTGTTTCACTGGCTGTTTTGAGAAAGATGCAGAAGGATCTTTTCCAGTGTCACCACGTGTTGGCCAAGTCAGGTTTATTCAGGTTTAGATCTAGGTGTTCTGGCTTAAGGTATTTTTCCATCCTAATAGATTTTTAGTAGAATAAATTGTTATGAAAAAGGGTTTGAGTAGAAGTGAAAGAAGGCTGAGTCAGTATAACTTGAGTGAAGTTTTATTCTATGTACAGTTGACTTGATATTCTAGCAGCATTTATACTGGCCCAAGGACTACCGGTGTTCTTTAATTGGCGTCCCCGTGTCAACGGTCTTCCTGTATTTCTACATGTCCCCCCCCCTTCTATGACCACAATACCTAGAGTTTGTGGTCACTTGTCTGGATAGCTCCGAGTACTCATGCATTGGACCCCGCATTTGTGGAGACAATGGTCTTGGTGGCCGTGTAACTCTCGTGCTTCGCCGTAAAATAGGGCTTGATGGGTGTTGGTTTTCCTCCACTTCCATATCTGTGTGGTCCTGGTCCGCTATCACCTCATAATCAGTCACATCTACCTCCATCATTTCCAGTATGTCCCTCGGGTTCAATACTAATTGTCCTCTGTCTCTGTGGGGTTGATTGTTCGGGCGAATAGTCTGGTATATCTACTACCGGGAAGATTTTCGGGATGAATTGACGATTACGTAGTGTAATTCTGCCACTGCCATCCAATCGTATGCAGTACTGTCTGTTGCCTATGGTCTCGACGACCCTCCCAGTTTTCCTCCATCCCCTTGGATATGGCCCTTCCTGATTTTGTACCTGCACAGATTCACCAACCTGAAGCTCTTGGAGTGGGTGGCTGTGTGTATTGTACTGCTTTTGATTTAGCAGGTGCCTCTTTGCCATCGCTCTTTCTCTCAACTCCTTTGTCTCCCTCCACAGTTTGTGGATCTGGTACTTTTCATGGAGTAAGGGGGGTGGTGGTCTTTTATTGGTCAACCGTACAACATTTCCGCTGGCAACAGGCCAAGGTCCTGATGAGGTGTGTTCCTGTGTGACATCATTGTGCGTGCCGCCCGATCATGGCACAAGTGACCATACCCATCGACACAGTCCATCAGTGTTCTTTTGGCTGTTTTTATGGCTAGCTTGGCTCGGCCATTGCTTTGCGGATAGTGTGCGGATGATATGCGTTTTTATACACCTCAATCTTTTAGGAATGAATTATATGCCATAGAATCGAATGGTGGTCCCCCGTTCGATGATATTTCCTCAGTCGAACCATACATACAAAACAAACTCCTCAGCACATCACATATAGCTGCTGCTTTCTCCCGAAGGAAGTGGGGCCACTTCAATCCAGCCGGTGTACCGGTCTGCATACACCATATAGCTTTTTCCATGCATGTCAAACAGGTCTGTGACTGTCTTTTGGAAGGGGAATTCCGGGTTCGAAGGTGGCATCAGCGGTTCTCTGGGTTGGGACGGCGCAATAGAATTGCATTTCTGGCACTGTGCTCTCA